CCCCCCCCCCCCCCACCCACTCTCTAGATTTGCTCCAATTCTTAATTTTCATGATCAAATTCTCGCACTAACGGCGTCGTTTTCATTACGCGCTTGTGATTGTTTTTCTTAACCCTTGCTGGTTTTGGTTCCTTTTGTTTTAAAATTGTGGATGAGAATTGGAATCAAAGAATGAACGATGCCGGTGCTGCGTAGTCCAGTGCGCAGATGTCGGGGAGGAGAAGCAATACCGAAGCAAGAAAATAAACAGAAGATGCATCCGGAGCACAAGAACAATCCAGACGAAGTAGTAGAGCCGATTGCGACAAGGACAAGGAGAAGGCGGGCAGCGGCGGGGGCGGCATTGGATGAGGAACAGAAAGCCGGCAATGAGAGGGTAGTAGTGGCTGTGGGTGTGGGTGGTGCTGTTGTGGTGGGGACGGTGAAAGAGGAGGAGGAGGAGGAGGAGGAGAAAAGGGGTTTAGAGTTTGTTGGAGTAAAGAAGCCGATGGATGTGTTTGATAGTGGTGGCAAAGGTAATGATAAGCCACTTGCTGCTGGCGGAGAGGATGAGGGAACCTCTGCTCCGATTCCCCACCAGGTTATTTTTTGTTAATCTGAATTTAATTTATTTTTTTATCTTTTAAAAGTTGGGTGATGGTGATCGCTATTGTCTTTGTGATTAACAAAGTGAATTGAGCAAATTCACCGCGGAATGGCTGAAACGCGACTACTAGCGATTTTAATAATTACTATATTATTCTCTATTGTGTGATTCTGATTGAACAATTAGATAGGAATATATAATGCTATAAGTACTATATTTTTCTCTACTATACCTGATTCTGATTGAACAACCAGGTAGGAATAGTTAATGTTGATTCTGCTGATTGCATATGAGATTGAGACCATTGTAGAAGCCTGTTTTTGCTGGAATGCTACTTGTTCAATCCAAAAATTTTAATTTTTTTTTTTGCCAACTCTTGAAATTAAGCAATGCCAAGACGGAGTCTTTTTATTTTTCTGACGTATATTTTAGAGGAGGGTTGCAGAATTTTTTTTAGTTTTCTTGAAGAACTACAAAAGTGTTGGGAAGATGGGTTTCCTAACTATAATTTTCTTTGTAGAAACTTGAATAGTGCAAGAATTTTATAAACAACTAATACATTGCACTATGTATCTTGTCTCAAAGTACTGTTCTTGCTTTATATATTGGAATTGGTATTTGGTAATTTTCAATGAAAAAGAAGGATTAGGAAAATAGATGAGAGCAATGCAGAAGAAAAGCGAAAACTACTGTGCAAAGGTAGTTACACTGGACCCTCCAGCCCTTTAACTATGGGACAAGGCCCAAACTGTTAAAGCCATGTCCATTGAAGTCAATGTTTCTCCTAAATGGGATTCCCTGTTGGATTGATGGGATGGTTGTATGAAATGTTAGATGGCAGAGTTAAATAAGAAAGCTTAAGATTCAAACTGGAATAGTTAATATAATTTCTAAAGGTTTGAGATGAGTTATAGAAAATTTCGGAAAGATGTCTTAGTATGTTGGTTCCATTTGTGTAGTAGAAGGCAACAGTTGAATGCACCCTTGTTGTATTGACTAGCTTGTTTAATTAGATATCCCAAATGTTTTCTAGATATTTCTGTCTGATCTATAATTCATAAAAAGTTATGGTTGCCAACAGGAGGACAAGAAAAGAACTAGAATTAAACAATGTTGCCAAAGCGCCAGGCACCCTAAGGTGTCAAGGTTATCAAATGCAAGCGCCAGCTACGCGCTTGAATAAAACAAGGCAAAATATATGTATATGTATAATCTTATAATATATAAATCATAAATATATATGTTAAAAATTAAGATCGGAAAATCAAAGTGAAACTCAAAATATTTTAACATAGTTATAAAAAGTTATCTTATTCATCTTTAAAAATAAAATAAGACAATTTTAAAAAGCTAGTAGATTAAAATAGTTAAATTTAAAATGCTAAAGTTTGGAATAAACTAAGTTGATTAGAAAAAAGGAATAAACTGAAAGTTTCAAAAACAGTGAACATGACAAGAAAAAATAATTAAGTGTGAAGTTTGAAATTGAAGTTTCAAAAACAATAAACAAGAAAAAAAATGAACCGTGAAGTTTGATAAATGATGAACTTGAGATTTGAGAAAATGTTCTTTTATTAAAAAAAAAAAAGTAAAATTTTTTGTAACATAACACATGGATATTTAAAGAGAGAAGACAATAGGTAAAGAAGAAATAAGATATGCCATATCAATTTCTTTTTTTCTTTTACTTTTATTCAATGGTAATTTTTATTGATATCGTTATCTTATTTGTATTAAAGTTAGTACTCAACTACTTGATTTGTTTCTTTTATTATTATTATTATTATATCAAGTCATTACCTTATAATGCAGGCATATTTCTTTTGATAGTTCATTTCACTATTTCTAGGATTTAGAATAGCTACAATGCTTTCTTTTTTCTACCATTGATGGAAAGCATAATTCTTAGCTGTTTTTTGTAGACAGATTATTGTCTGCATTTTTCAAATACATTTCTAGTGTGTTTTTTTCCTGTGGCACATACTCTTTACCTTCCTCCTTGTCTCTTTTGTCATTCCCAATAATGCATTCAACTTGGTTATCATTAAAAATCGTGAAATTTGAATTCTCTTTTACTCATTGCCATTATATTGTGCCATTTTTTTCATAGAAAATGCAAGTCTTGTTTTAAATGACCTCAATATTTTTCTCTTCGGTTTTTCAGTAAAAGTTGGAAGTTTTTGGGTTTGCTTGGAAGCACTTCATCGCAACTATGTCTACCCCATTTGCTGTCTCCTTCTCCTTTTCTTGTTTGTTTGTTTTTTCTTACTATTGTTATTTTTTAAAAAAAAAAAAATTGGATCTGCTGGAATAAGCATGCATTATATGGTAATGACCTGGTCACTAAAAGTAACTGGTAATTTAGGAGACAACATGAAAATTTTTGCAATGTTTTCTGTTCATGATGTTATTGATCAATTTACCTATATTGGGATAGTCTTCCTCCAATATTTCACTTATTCGGGGATAAAAAATGTAATGTGATTAGACATGTAGAGAAAGAAATGATGACCATTTTCTCATTCTGTAGACTGCTGAATTATGGCAGCATTTTACCTGCTCCCCCCTTTGCCTTTTTCCCTGAATCTCTTGTGGATGAAATTAATTTATTGGTGATGGTGCTGCAGGTTCAGGTTGAGGATTCCCCAGTGTACAGAGTAGAAACAAAGTTGGGAAAGGGTGGCTTTGGTCAAGTGTATGTTGGTCGACGTGTTTCTGCTGTAAATACAAATGAGAAAGCTGGTGCAGGAGCTGTAGAGGTATACCTGGGTTTTTTCTTAATACATATATGTCTGAATGATTTGAGTATGATCTGATCATTCATCTCACTCTTTTATACCATCACCTTTGAACTTTTGATTTTAGGTGGCACTGAAATTCGAGCATAAGAGTAGTAAAGGATGTAATTATAGACCACCTAACGAGTGGCAAGTTTATGAGTGAGTACTTGATTATATCTATCACGCTTTCTTTTGACTTGCATAGTCCTCTTATTTTTTTCAGCAGAATAATATGAATCCATTGCTTTTTGTCCCTTTCACAGTACTCTTGGTGGCAGTCACGGTGTACCACTAGTGCACTATAAGGGTCGGCAAGGTGACTATTATGTCATGGTATGCTATTGTTGGCATTTGTTGGTGGTTCTAGACTGTTGGGTCTCTATAGCTTATTTTTGCCTTGTTTTAGAATTGTTTCTAACAGAAAACTCTGATGCCATGTAGGTTAATGGATATGTTGGGTCCAAGCCTGTGGGATGTTTGGAACAATAACTTTAACTCGAACTTGTGAGTTCAATTGTTCTATCTTTTCTGTTGTCTATTATTTTATCTTTTGTCCAGATCCGTGCTAAATGAAGGCATGTTCTTATTTGCTTATTTGCAGAATGTCCACTGAAATGGTTGCATGTATTGCCGTTGAAGCCATATCCATATTTGAAAAGATGCACTCCAGAGGGTAAAAGCTTTTTGTTGCATGTCATTAATCTCTCTTTTTAAGTTTTGATAAGATGAATTGAATGGGTTTGGTCTGGTTTGTGTACTGGAAAATAAGCACTTTTAATTGTGGAACTGTTAATTGGCTATCTATGTTATGAATGATTAATCTCTCTATGTTTTTACTGTTATATTCTCAAATTAAAAATTTGTGATTCTCAGTCTAGATTACACCAAATTTCTGCAGTTATGTCCATGGAGATGTAAAGCCTGAGAATTTTCTGCTTGGTCCTCTGGGAACTCCTAAGGAGAAAAAATTATTTCTAGTTGATCTTGGATTGGGTAATCGGAGAAACTCCATGTTCATCTTTTTTACTTTAAACTGTTGATTTTTGGGGATTCTGAAACAACTGTCTACGTTGAACCGCAATTTTCTGAATTGTTCGGGTCATTCAGCTACTAGGTGGCGGGATAGTTCAACTGGTTTGCATGTTGAGTATGACCAAAATCCAGATGTTTTCAGGTTCGACTCTTGCATCATTGTTGGTATTAAGCTTGAATTATTTTACCGTTTCTTTACATTTCCTTTATTTAATTTTTCTTGATTGCTGGCTTAGTCATTACTTGTTTGGGCAGGGGAACAGTGCGATATGCTAGTGTGCATGGCCATTTAGGGAGAACTGGTAGCAGGAGGGATGATTTGGAATCACTTGCATACACACTTATTTTTCTTCTCCGTGGTCGCTTACCTTGGCAAGGGTACCAGGTAGGTCCTTTTTCTCAGCTGGGTAAAATGTTTGTCCCTTGTGGTTCACATGTGCAAAAACAATGTACTGAAACTTCACTTATTTTGCATATGTTATTTGCTTTCTTTTCTTTATGACATTATGGTGTTCTTAGGGAGAAAACAAAGGGTTTGTCGTTTGCAAGAAGAAGATGGCAACAACCTCAGATGCGCTTTGTTGCTTCTGTCCACAGCCTTTCAAACAGCTCATTGAATATGTAGCAAACTTAAAGTTTGATGAAGAACCTAATTATGCAAAATGCATTTCCCTCTTTGATGGAATTGTTGGCACAAATCCAGATATTAGACCTCTTAACACAGAAGGTGCTCAGAAGGTGCATGGGATGTTTACACTGTTTTTTGGCTATTACTTGTTTTCTCTTAAGTTGGACCTATTTATTTATAAACTTTATTTTTAATGAACTGACACTTCAAGTTTTGAATTCATGTGTTTAATTAGTACTCTTGATCTTGTGAAGCTTATTTATCAGGTTGCTCACAAGAGAGGAGGGTTGACTATGGATGCGGAAGACGAACAACTGAGGAAGAAGGTTCGTATGGGCATGCCAGCAACACAATGGATTAGTGTGTATAATGCACATAGATCAATGAAACAAAGGTATAAACTATGCCTGAAGTCATTAGCCATTTCTCAGCACTTTTTTGTTGATTAGATTGATCACTTTTTTGAGTCTGTTATACACTGTTGCTCTTTTGTTGATTCCAAATATTTTAAAGTTTAAAGCTCTCCTGCCTATTCAGTATGATCTCAATTTCATGTTGTTAGGATGGAGTGATCAGATTAACTCAAATTAGATCAGTTCGAGAATTTTAACCTGCTTCTGTAGGTATCACTATAATGTGGCTGATGCAAGGCTTGGCCAGCACATTGAAAAAGGAAACGAGGATGGCTTATTTATTAGCAGTGTAGCTTCATGTCAAAATCAATGGGCCATTATTATGGATGCTGGTGCAAATTATTCCGCACAAGTCTATGAGCTCTCACCATATTTTCTACGCAAGGTGCATGCTTATGCCTTCTACCTACCTGAAGCCGTTTTCCACAGCTGATATTCTGAATTTGTAGCTGGTCTTTGGAGATAAGTTGCTCCTTGACATAACTTCTAAACAAATAGAGTAACTATTGAATTATTATGTTTGATTGTGTGAAGGAATGGATAATAGAGCACTGGGAAAAAAATTATTATATCAGTGCAATAGCTGGAGCAAACAATGGAAGCTCATTAATCGTAATGTCTAAGGGTCAGTCTAAACTGTTTGAATGATTAGTTTTTTATGTCTTCGCTTCAATTTTGTCTGACTTGTATTCCTTTGGAGTTCAGGTACCAGTTATATGCAACAGTCTTATAAAATCAGTGATTCATTTCCTTTTAAATGGATTAATAGAAAATGGAAGGAGGGCTTTTATGTCACTGCAATGGCCACCTCGGGGGGTAGATGGGTAGTTGTCATGTCCCGTGGTGCAGGATTTGCAAAGCAGGTCATCTTTGATCTACAGATGTTGTATCCTAATAAACTGTAGGCCTGGATGGTGAACTAAATTTTGTATTAAATTTCAGGTGGTTGAACTTGATTTCCTGTATCCTAGTGAAGGAATACATCTACGGTGGGATTCTGGATATCGTATCACAGCAACTGCAGCAACTTGCGACCAGGCAGCTTTTGTTCTGAGTTTGCCAAAAAGGAAACATACAGATGAAACACAGGAGACCCTTCGAACCTCTGCTTTTCCTAGCACGCATGTTAAGGTTGCTGTCTGTCTTTGGACATAGCATCAAGTTTTTTTCCGATACTGATTCATGTTTGAGGATCTAAAATTTGAGTTGGGCCTTGCAGGAGAAATGGGCAAAAAATCTATATGTTGCATCCATATGTTACGGTCGAACGACATCGTGAGCTGCGGCTTGCATGCCTCCTCTCGTGACACCATTCACTTAAGCTATGATGCTTTTGTCAAGCGGCATTCATTTAAAATTTAAGGAAAATTTTGATTAGTATATATATAGGTAGTCAGTTCTAATCAGAAGTATAGAAGCTATAGTTCGATCGACCTCAAGTCTTTCAACCTGCTAAACTAGGTGGGCTTTCTCATTTTCTGATGTCTGCAATCAAGCAAAGGTCGGAGGTATGGCGGGCCCTCTATTTACTTTGTACAGTTTTTTTAATATTAGAGAATAAATATGTAGAAGTCAATGTTTCTAGCTGGGTCTGGATTGTTCATTTTGATCTGGTATGTTTTTTTTTTCTCAACCCATCATTAATCAATACATTAGATGCACATCCTGTACAATTACAGGGTTTATCGCAAGGTGCTTTGGACACCATTAATAATACGGTGTCAGACTCAAAGATGGTCCAAGTGAGAGGAAGTTCGATTATCAGCATCTGTTTTTTTTCTCTCCTCTCTCCTGCTCATTGATCAAATACCCTACATTAAAAATAAAAAAATGAAAGTGGACAGTGATATATTCTTCAAAGTCAGTACAACAGTAACTACTCCAAAGCTTGATGAGATCATTGGAAAGGGAGAGTTGCAAAAAAAAAGAGAGGATGATTGACCATAGCAAAGACTGAAGCTGGTAATGGATGTTTGTAGTGGGAAATGATGTATAAACCATGGGAAAGAAAATCATAATAAGGTGTATATATGCCGTACCTACCGCCGATTCTTTCAGAGAGTGAAGACTTCAGGGAAAAATTAAATATAATCACACAACGTGAGAACAAGCATTTTAGGCTAAAAATATTGGTTTGATATAATTTTGATAAATGCATATCATATTATTAATATCATAAATATAATGCATATACCCTTACAATGATATACATAGGGTTACAATGATATACATTGAGTTACAATATTTAAGAAAACATTTAAGAAATCATTAAACAAGTAAGGAAATGATTTGTGAAGAGCAAAAATAAAAAAATTATAAAAATAACGATGTTGACTTTGTTGATCAAGAATTTGTAGTAGTATTTTTTTCAAATAGTACTAGAATTGTTTAGAACATCTTGTAATACACACACAACCTAAAAAAAAACTAAGAAAAGACCAAAACATATAAATAGAATAAAATCTTAACAATACCCAAAACGATCTTATTGTTTTGAAAATGATAAACTAGTAGCTAAAATTGTCCATCTATTTTGAAAAATGATCAGACTGTTTCTCAAAATAGTTAGTCTATTTTTTAAATATTTCTAGAAACTTTTGGGATTCTTTAAAAATAGTTTGATAGATTATAAAAATTCAACTAATTTTGTCAACCGGCAAAAAACTATATCTGACAGCTAGTTTATTTTCTAAGCCTATACATAGCTTTTTATTTTCTCAAATCAAGGGTGGAACTTCTAAAGTAAAAATCTAAATAGACTCCCTCCCTATAAAAAAGAAATAACAACATATAACACCCTTATTTCACTTGTAATCATCAAAAAACAAGGTAAAGTGTGAATTGATAAAATTCTCCTAAAAACTTAATTATTATTCCAATCAACTCTACTAGAAAATATACTGTGGAAAGTGTAAATATCACTTTAAACACTTGAAAAAAGTCTCGTAAAAATAAAATTGTGAGTAGTTTAATACTTATCCTTCTACAAGTATGAGTGAAAGGTTTTCTAGTCTTTAGACCATAAAAACATTAAGAATAATGGTTTGATCCTAAGCCCACAAAAGGACTGAGTTTAATCTTGCACCTGTAAAACTATTGTATAATGGTTTAGTCTCATTTGCTAAGATTGATGTGTGATAGTGAAACTTTTGAAAGAAAGTTCAAGGAGTGATTTGCAGAACTTGCATTCTCTCTAAATTCTCACTCTTTAATTATCATATTTTTAATGATTATTGCTTTTGTATTTAGTTGAGTGTTTAGAATTGCATGTTAGTAGATAAAATGATTTTAATTTATAGCTTTACCTTACATATCTAAGTTTTAGATGTTTGTGTTACTTTAATCTTAGAACAATAATTGATATCAGAACCTAATTCTTATTTATATAAGTTCAATTAGACTTTAAGGAGAATGACAATCACTAGTTTTAATGTTTAAAATGAAGGATTATCAACCTCTAGGCTACCTTTCATTGAAGGTAATGATTATGTCTATTTAAAAACTAGGATGATTATATATCTTTAATCTATTGATTATGATTTATTACTATTTATTGAAAATGAACCTCACAAGCCTATTAAAATTGAACATAATATAATGATTTCTAAACCTAAAAGTGAGTATACCGATGATGATAAAAAGTTGTTTTTTATGGATGTCAAAATTATGAATACTTTGTATTATACCTTGAGTAGAGGTGAGTTTAATAGAATATCATCTTGTAAAAATGTTATGGATATGACAATCTATTTTTGATGTCTTGAATTTAAGTTTATTTGTTTGAATTTTAACATATATATATATATGTTAAGACCTTTAATTGATCAAGATTATGATTGCAAGTTGTTTCTAGCGTGTTATTGAGTGCAAAAAAAGCTAAGTTTATGTCAAGTTCTTGTTAGGAATGTTTGTTGGATAAATATAACAATGTTTAAGAAAAGAAAAAAAAGAAGGATATTCCTTAAGTTTTTAAATTGAGGTATTGTTGCAATCTTTTCTATGCTTTTTTTTAGAATTTTTATTGTTTTTAGGGGTTGCTATAAGTAAGTGGAAGTAAGCTCTATCATGTTTAAGCCTTATTTCTAGGTTTATATATATATATATATATATATATATATATATATGTATATGTATATCTAGGTATTGTTTAATTCTGGGTGTTTTTGAATTTTTTAATTCATATTTTTGATATTCTTAAACCTAGATATATGTTTTATTGTGTCTTGGCATTTTAGCCTCTTTGTTGAGCTTCATTTGAAGCTAAAGCTCATACATCATCGTTTTATACCTTTATTTTGTTCATTTTAAGCTTGTTTTGGATCAATCAATCAATCAATTCGTAGCATTTTTAGATATCTATGTTAGAGTTATATGTTGTTGTGTTTGACTCATGTGATTTATGGTTTGTTTGTTCTCTTCTAATGCATATTTATGCTTCAACATTCCATACTTAATGTTTTCTTGCCTTTTATTTAACAAGATTTGGTCAATATCAACAAGGTGTTTTGGTTTGTTTTTAATGTATTTGGTGAAATTTCAAATGAAAATCTCTTAATTTTTTTTTTCTTTTCTAGATATGGTTCTTGTGTTTGAGATTATGAGCTTGGACTAGGAGGCCCAATTCATGTGGTTAGGCTAGGTCTATTAGGTTTAAAGACGTGTTTGGTTAGTCAAAATTTTTTAAATGAAAAAAAAATACATTTTTATATTTTTAAGGTGTGTTTGCCAAGCATGATTTTTAAATAATTTTTAAGTCTCTAATTTTTAGTGAAGGATATGTTTGGCAAACATATTTTATTAATTTTTCTAACATTGTTGATTTTCTCTTTTTTAGTATTTGTCAAACACAACCTTTGTTTTTTAAATTAATTCAATTTTATATCTTTAAGGGATCTATTTGCAAATTTTATATTTCTCATATTTTGTCCCTTATTATTTAATATTTGGGAGTGATCTATACATGGATATTTTTTTAGTATTAAATAAACATGTTTTCTTTATTAAAAAATACAAAAACAACAAAAATCTTTTTTTCAAAAATACATTTAAATAATTCTTTTAAATGACTTATTTCCAAGTCTCTCAATTTACATAAAAAATATATAAAAATACATGTTTTTGTATGTATTTTTGTTATTTAATAATAACAAGTTTATTAAATCTATAAAAACTTGATTTATACTTTAAAAACACCAAAAAATCAATATGTTTATTTTAATATTAAAGATTATAAACTTATATATAAGATATATTTTTAGTATTAAAAAAAATATAAAAATATGTTCGAATTTTAAAATGATTAGACTTAACTCATCAATTAATTATTCATTTTAATAAGATGAATATTTTTTTACCATTTAACAGACTAACAGTTAGAAGAAACATAACAATATCTTATTAAATAAATAAATAAATAATATAATTTATTTTAGATAAAATATATCAGAAATGATGATATATCCTTAATATATACAGTTCACTTAACTTTTCTAAGTTTTAAAAACTAATTAAAGTTTCTTGAAAATAAATTTTAACTAATAAAAAACAAGAAATTGTTTTTTTTACCTGTAATGAAGACTTCTGATTCAAGGAGACGTCACACATTAGCGGCACTAATATTAAGGTGCTTTTAAGGTTGTTTATTATTATTATTATTATTATTATTATATCAGGGGATCCTAGAGAGAGTAGTCTTAAACTAATTTCCAACGGACACTGCATGGAGAAACGGACAAAGGCCAATCACGTCGGAATGCACACATGCATCCAAGACGTGCCGACTATTTTAATTTCATTTTAACATTGAAAAGCTCCCTTGGCGAATAGCTCCCTCCCTCACCCACCTCTTTCTCACCTGCTACTATACAATTCATGCCCTCAAGTTAATTTTCTAGAGGAAAGGAACTTAATTAAACCCACCCACCCACCCCTCTCCTCTCTCTTCGTACGTACGAGGAAAGAGAGAGAGTGAGGACTTTTCAAGATTTTGTTGGTGAGAAAGTGAAAGCCTAAGTGGACTTACAAAAGTCAGAAGTCATCCAATCCTCCTTCAACGTCCTGATCGTCTCCCTCTCTCACTCCAATATCCACCTAAGAATTAATAAGAGAATTCAACATCATTTCCATTTCGTAACAATATCAAGAAACCACCGAGAGTAAGTTCTCTATGCTCAGGCTTTGATGCTGTTTTATTGTCCCCGCGGGAGTAAAAGGCTCACCTTAACATTTGTTTGGCATTGGGCTTAGTTTACTCTCTCTCAGCAACCAAACAATAGAAGGTCTTCTCTCTGTTTTGTTTTTTTTTATCAATATTATTGTTGTTGTTGTTGTTGTTGTTGTTTGGAACATATAAATTATTTCCTTTCTGTTGGTTTGTCCATTTCATGATGTGAGACTGATTCCATTTTCTTCTAAATTCAATTCAGAATAAGAGAAAGATGGATGGTGAGGAGAAGGCGCGAGCTTCTGGCAGACGATCAAGTCACAGCAGCTTGAGCAGAAGCATAAGCAGGAGCTTGATCAGGGCTGGTTGGAACATGGAAGAAATGTTTTCTGTTGGCAGGGATTCTAGGAGAACCAACCTTGTCGATGGAGATGAAGAGGCTCTAAAATGGGCTGCCATAGAGAAGTTACCAACATACAACAGATTAAGAACAAGTATCATCCAATCTTTTGTGGAGTCCGAGGTCCAAGGCAATAAGCTGCTGCTGCATAAAGAAGTTGATGTGAGAAAGCTCGACATGAATGACAGGAAAACTTTCATCGACAATCTTTTTAAGGTTGCAGAGGAAGATAATGAAAAATTCTTGAAAAAATTCAGACAAAGAGTTGACAAGTAAGTTTCTTAATTATTAATTAATCTCTCATGATATACATATTAATTTGCTGTCCCGCTTTCTTCTATGTACCCCTCCTGTATAATATATAGTCTTCTTGTAAAGAAATATGTAAAGCCAATCAATTTATATGCATTCGAATCTTCTCATGTTTCGAAGGAAATATATATATGTTTCTGAACCTTGCCATGAACATGTATGATCAACTTTCATAATCTGAATTAAAAGAGAAGAAAATTAAATGAACCGTAGAGTTACTATCATATTAATTTAACATATACTAAAATCATACACTTAGTGTAAAATAACAAGAGAGGACGGTTTATCCATCTGTTTTGTTAGTAAGTGGATTTTTGAAGCGGATTAAATCAACACAAGTCGTTTATGATTCTTCTCTACAAAGGTAATTAAGAAAATAAGTCCTTTTTTTTGTTTTTGTTTTTTCTTAACCTTTCTTCAAAAAAGCAGTAACAGTATATATTTTTTTGATCAAGTCAAGCTTAGCCCTCACACAACTACCACATCATTACTTATTCTATTTAATTATTATTATTTTTTGGTTGAAATCTAATTTGTGTTTGTTTAGTCATCGGCTTGTCCAATGTAAAAAGCCAAAAGCCATGTATAGGATTACAGGAAAAGTGGTTGTGAATTCAATTTTGTCCTCGTCACAAATAGAACCGATCTAAGATTTAAGTTTGATTATTTTGGTAATTTGAGATAATTTAATTTTTTTTATTTAAAGTTAATTGAAAGTTAGGTTTTATAATTTATTTTATTTTAAAAAAAATTATTTTGATTTTATGACTTGGATTATGATTTAACGAGCCGGTTAACTTGACATAACTTTTTTTTCTTCATTTTTTAAATTGATTTTTTTTTAATTTTATTTTTTAATATTGAATTAATTGAAAATTATATTTTATAATTTATTTTAATTTTTTATGAGGATATTTTGATCTCTTGATCCAAGTTGTGAGTTTGATGGGTTAACACAAGTTGACATGAATTGTTTTTTGGGTTTTTTTTTTTTATAATTTTATCTTTTAATATTTAGTTGATTGATATTAGATATCATAATTTATTTGGATTTGTTTTTTTTAAAGTTATCATGATATTATGATTCAAATAATATACTTGGCATATTAACTTAAATGAATTTGAATTGATTCAATATATTGTTATCTCGAATTTTTTTTAAAATATCATTTTGGATTTTTTAGTAAAACTATATTTTTATAAATTATTTAAATTGTTTTTAAACCAATTAAATTAACTTAATTATATCAAATTAAGTCTCGCATCATTTTAAAAAACTTTTCTACTGGAAAATAAGTTAGGAATGCCTAAACACTTTTTTTTTATATTCAAAGAAAATTGATTCGACCTGTAGTAGCATTAGCATGTGCTAATAATATAGTACACTCGTGCCTTTTTTAATTTATTTATTTACTAATAATTTCCTCGTAATTGCAGGGTTGGAATCCGACTCCCAACAATTGAGGTTAGGTTTGAACATTTGACCGTTGAAGCGGATTGTCACATTGGCACCAGAGCTCTTCCCACACTTCCAAATGCTGCAAGAAACATTGCTGAATCAGCTCTTGGTATGGTTGGGATTAATTTGTCTGAGAGAACAAAGCTCACAATACTCAAAGATGCATACGGGCTTATAAAACCATCAAGGTAAATAGATTGAACTACGTACTGTATCACGCCAAGACAGTAACCAGCGCTAGCTAGCTTGCATGCCTGCCTTCTAAGAAACGTCCTTTTCAGCAGTTTAATGAGACCTTTAAATTTTGTTTCTGTTATAGGATGGCTCTATTATTAGGGCCACCATCCTCGGGCAAAACAACGCTTCTGTTGGCTCTAGCAGGAAAGCTGGACCCGAGTCTCAAGGTTCGTGACAAATTAATGCATCCGAATGACGTTCGTTTATTCTTACGGGGTGATTTATACAAGTTTTTTTTATAATTATGGACATCAACTATTGTTCAAGCAGGTTAAAGGAGACATAACATATAATGGATATCGACTAGATGAATTTGTGCCACGGAAATCATCAGCATATATCAGCCAAAATGATGCTCACATAGGAGAACTGACTGTGAAAGAAACCTTGGATTTCTCATCAAGGTGTCAGGGGGTCGGGACACGATATGGTAATTAACTATTTGTACATCTGAGCGTGCTAAAACAAGTAATTTAATTGAATCAATCATGTCATTCTCATAGATCTCCTAAGTGAACTTGCAAGAAAAGAGAAGGAACGTGGAATATTTCCAGAGGCAGAAGTGGATCTTTTCATGAAGGTAAATGCCAAGCACTAATATTATACGTCTAGCTACAAAGAAAGAGCAAGTTTCCGCCATTCACATTCTAGAAATCACATAAATTTCATCTGTAATTTTCAGGCAACTGCAATGGAAGGAGTTCAAAGCAGTCTTATTACTGACTACACACTCAAAGTAAGCCCAAGGAGAATTACCCTGGCCATGGAATTAATATTTACTATTGCTTTAGATAATTGGAATTGAAACAACTTGGAGTTGTCATCATGACTCTTCAAGTTTCTGACAATCTCAAGATCTCTTCTGAAATATTTATCCTCGTCATTCACTCCGTTGACTGACTTCTAATTACCATGTTGGTGTAGCTGGGCTGTGCTGACCCCAACCTTCATTTGTCTTTTTAAGGAAAAACTCTATCAACTAATAAGCATTTCGTCCCATTTTCTTTGAAAAAACACGAATGTTGCTGTCGTGATACTTGACTTTCATAGAATAAATGGGCTAATTTATTCTTTGCTTTTATTGTTTCCCTTTGTTTTGTTGTCATGAGACAGATATTAGGACTTGATATATGCAAGGACACCGTTGTTGGAGATGAAATGATACGGGGAATATCGGGTGGACAGAAAAAGAGAGTGACGACAGGTTAATTTATTATGTTTTTAGTTGCTATTTACTTGGAATTATTATATGAATTGCTCTTAACTTCACCGATACAAATCATAATCTCATTTTAAAATACCCAGTAAATCTTTTATAAGAACAGTGGATGTATGCTGGGACATATTGTATAATATTTTGAGCAAGTCAAATTGTAGGTGCTCGTGAAGCTACTAGCATTTGGTACTTGTTCTTATTGGGAGTTATTTTCATTAATTAATTAATTCAGGAGAGATGATGGTTGGGCCCACGAAGACACTATTCATGGATGAGATATCTACCGGTCTGGATAGCTCCACAACATACCAAATAGTGAAGTGCTTGCAGCATATCGTGCACCACACTGAGGCCACAGTCATGGTGTCCCTGCTCCAGCCTGCTCCTGAGACGTTTGATCTCTTTGACGATATCATCTTTTTATCTGAAGGCCAGATTGTGTACCAGGGCCCACGAGAGCACATCCTTGCTTTCTTTGAGAGCTGTGGGTTCCGCTGCCCTGAGAGAAAGGGCGCTGCTGATTTCTTACAAGAGGTAAGAACCCATTGAAAACGGCCAAGCCTCACATTTCAGACCTAACCCAAAGGGTGGGCTTTAGCCATTATCAACACAGACATCTTGTAGTTTGATTAATGGTTGTGACTGCAGGTTACTTCAAAGAAAGACCAAGAGCAGTATTGGGTTGACAGAAGTAAGCCATATAGATGCATAACAGTCCCGGAATTTGCTGAGAGGTTCAAGAGGTTCCATGTGGGCATGCGAATAGAGAATGAGCTTTCATTGCCATTTGACAAGTCCCGAGGCCACGGAGCAGCACTATCATTCTCAAAGTACACAGTTCCGAAAATGGAACTACTCAAGGCATGCTGGGATAGAGAATGGATATTGGTTCGGAGAAATGCGTATGTCTATGTGGCCAAGACTGTCCAACTTATTATCATGGCAATTATAGTGTCAACGCTATTTATAAAGTCTAGAATGCATACAAGAAATGAAGAAGATGGAGCAGTGTATATTGGTGCTCTTTTGTTTACCATCGTCATTAACATTTTCAATGGTTTCGCTGAGCTCGCACTTGTAATCAAGAGGCTTCCCGTCTTTTACAAGCAAAGAGAACTACAATTCCATCCTGCCTGGACTTTCACCCTGCCAACTTTCTTGCTGCAGCTGCCATCGTCAATAATCGAGTCTCTTGTTTGGGTGTCAATTACGTATTACTCCATTGGTTTTGCACCGGAAGCCGACAGGCAACCCCCATAGCCACCATACCAGAACTTCTAAATTAAAGATGCTCTTTCATTGCATGATCATTTGAGTGAGATATCATCCTGCCTGTTTTGCAGGTTTTTCAAGCAACTGCTACTGGTATTTTTCATTCAACAAATGGCTGCGGGCCTCTTTAGGCTTATTGCTGGGGTCTGCAGGACCATGATCATTGCCAGCACAGGCGGGGCTCTCACTCTGCTCCTTGTTTTCTTGCTTGGAGGTTTCATCTTACATAAAGGTTAGAATGAAACAAAAACCTCAAATATAATTTTGTTGTACTCAAATGTTAGTCCCCGTCTCAGAATTCTCTGCAGTTGTTGGTTTTCAATACATTACATAAGAGTTGCTACAATGGTGACAGGTACCATTCCAAATTGGTGGGAATGGGGCTACTGGGTTTCCCCTTTGTCTTATGGCTACAATGCCATAGCTGTGAACGAAATGTTCGCTCTCAGGTGGATGAACAATCTGGTATGATATCATGTCCAACATAATTCTATCTACAGCATCAACCGTCTCAGATTGTGAATCAAATATATTAGAGTGACGATTTAAACTTGTTTATAAGAAGTATATTTTGATTGCATTTCAGACTTCAGACAACGCTGCCGGATTAGGCGCAGCAGTGCTCGATAGCTTTGGTGTTTATACTGATAAGAACTGGTATTGGATAGGCACAGCTGCTATTCTAGGTTTTGCTGTTCTATTCAATGTTCTCTTCACCATTTCTCTCGAGTACTTAAGCCGTAAGTCACGGCATTACATTCTATCAAAATGAATGTTGTGAAATTCTTAACTATTTCCAATTCACTCATCTTTAAGGTAGGTAATCTTCTCCATGTTTTTGTTTTCCACAATAGCTCCTGGAAAGCCACGGGCCATAATCTCTGAGGAAACAACAAAAGAAGGAACCACGTCAAAGAAAGGTTCACTCCCGCAGTCATTAGCCTCTTCGGATGGAAACAATACGAGTAAGGAAACCTCAAATAAAGGATTCCATATTTCAATATTGTCACTTGTCAGAACTCAATGCTCTGTATAAAATGCTTGAATTCCGTACATGGACTTGCAATATATCAGGTAAAATTGAACTCTTGAGAATGAGCAGCCCATCCAATCCCAGTGGACCAATTAAAAATTCCGATTCAACTCTTGAAGCAGCAAATGGAGTTGCTCCTAAGAGAGGAATGGTCCTCCCTTTCACTCCTCTTTCCATGTCCTTCGACGATGTGAATTATTTTGTGGACATGCCTGCTGTAAGAATCAATACCTTCTACTTTCACTGTGCCCCAAACCTCAACTTATAAAATGTTCCATTCATCTTATAAACAATAATTCTTGCATAAAGACACTGCTAACTAGAAGCATGGGCTTTTGAAACGAGAGTAGCTAGTATTCATAAAATACCACGCAAACTCGTTCTCTGACCAATTTTAATGAATGAAAACAGGAAATGAAGGAGCAAGGAGTTCCAGAGGATCGGTTGCAGCTACTTCGAGAAGTAACGGGAGCTTTTAGGCCTGGAGTCCTCACGGCATTAATGGGAGTCAGTGGAGCTGGAAAGACTACACTGATGGATGTTTTGGCCGGAAGAAAGACTGGTGGATACGTTGACGGTGATATTAGAATTTCCGGGTTCCCCAAGAAGCAGGAAACGTTTGCAAGAATTTCTGGGTATTGCGAACAGAATGATATCCACTCTCCTCAAGTCACTGTTAAAGAATCATTGATTTATTCAGCATTTCTTCGTCTCCCTAAAGAAGTCGGTAAACAAGAAAAGATGGTAAATTTGTTACTGTTCCAGACTTCAAATAATCATAATTAAAATTTGAGGTGATGGTTTACGAGCTAAATTAAAGGTGGGATTTATCTTTTCAGAATTTTGTGGATGAAGTGGCGGAATTGGTAGAGCTGGACAATCTCAAGGACGCTATAGTTGGGCTTCCAGGAATTACAGGGTTGTCCACAGAACAGAGAAAGAGATTAACAATAGCAGTGGAGCTGGTTGCTAATCCCTCCATCATTTTCATGGATGAACCAACTTCTGGTCTTGATGCAAGGGCAGCTGCCATTGTTATGAGGACTGTGAGAAACACCGTGGATACTGGAAGAACAGTTGTCTGTACGATTCATCAACCTAGCATTGACATCTTTGAAGCCTTTGATGAATTGTTATTAATGAAGAGGGGAGGACAAGTAATATACTCTGGAACATTGGGTCGAAATTCTTGCAAGATCATTGAGTACTTTGAGGTAGTTTAATCTCCCTATGATTTTATCGATCCAATAATTGATAAAAATGTTTTTCATAATCTGATATCACGGGTATTGACATCTTACAGGCCATTCACGGAGTCCCTAAAATAAAAGAAAAGTACAATCCGGCAACATGGATGCTAGAAGTGAGTTCAGCTGCAGTTGAGGTCCGGCTTGGAATGGACTTTGCAGAACACTACAAATGTTCATCTTTGTATCAGTATGTCAAGTGTCAAGTGACAAGTAAATGAGAATTATTTGCTTATTTATATATGCTAAATTATGAGGTTTAAACTCAATCCATGTTTCCTTATGAGCAGGAGAAACAAGGCTTTGGTGAAGGAGTTGAGCACGCAAAAGCCAGGAGCAAAAGACCTTTATTTTGCCACTCGGTATTCGGAGTCAATATGGGGACAGTTCAAATCTTGCCTCTGGAAGCAGTGGTGGACATACTGGAGAACTCCTGATTACAACCTTGTTAGATACATCTTTACCTTGCTTTGTGCTCTTATGGTTGGTAGCATATTCTGGAAGATTGGGACTCGAAGGTCAGTTGTCGAGTGCGCACTCTGGCAAAAGAACTATAACATATTCCTGATCAGTAGGCTAAATTAAAATTTGTTTACGTTGTCTGATCATTCAGGGAGAGCTCAAGTGATCTGTCTATGATTATCGGTGCCATGTATTCTTCTGTCCTGTTTGTTGGTATTAACAACTGCCAAACAGTACAACCAGTGGTAGCTGTTGAAAGAACGGTGTTTTACCGAGAAAAAGCAGCTGGGATGTATTCTGCATTACCTTATGCCATTGCACAGGTGAGTCGATCTTGTATCTTTAAAGCATTTGTACATACATATGTATATAGCAACTTATTAACATCAAATTGACTGACCGGATTCTGTATTATATATACACATACGTGACATGCATGCAGGTTGTTTGTGAAATACCATACGTATTTGTTCAAGCTACTTATTATACACTCATTGTATATGCCATGGTGGCCTTTGAATGGACTGCAGCCAAATTCTTCTGGTTCTTCTTCATCAATTTCTTATCCTTCCTTTACTTCACGTACTACGGAATGATGGCTGTTTCCGTCACCCCAAACCACCAAATAGCAGCCATCTTTGCAGGAGCATTCTATTCTCTCTTCAATCTTTTCTCTGGCTTCTTTATACCAAGACCGGTACGTTAAATTTCTAAAGAGTATAATTTTTTTTGTATCATTTTCGACTTAGTGTAATCACACACTTTTGTTACTTTCCGTTTGAGATTTCAGAAAATCCCCAAGTGGTGGGTCTGGTACTATTGGATTTGCCCTGTAGCGTGGACAGTATATGGACTGATTGTGTCCCAGTATGGCGACGTTCAGGACACCATTAAAGTTCCTGGTTATGATGAAAATCCTCAAATAAAGTTCTATATACAAGACCATTATGGGTTTGACCCAGATTTCATGGGGCCGGTTGCTGCGGTATTAATTGGCTTTGCAGTCTTCTTTGCATTTTTGTATGCCTTCTGCATAAGGACACTGAACTTCCAGGCAAGATAGGCAGCAAGATTTGTACGTCAAGCTGAGCTTGGAGATGTATAATATGTAGCAATGTTTATGAAGAGATGTTGAGAATCAAGATATTCAAGCTGTGCTTCTTTCTTTTCTAGTTGTGAGACGGACAACTGACAACACCAAGACTCCTACTTCCTTTTATATATTTCTTCTTGGTTGTTACAATTCAAAATCAAGTTGTATTAGTCTGTTAGAATCCATCCGTAATAATAGGATCTATCTATAAGGTTAAGTAATGTCATAATTAATAGAATTTTCATGTAAATAAAAGTGCTGCTTTTATATATATATATATATATATATATATATATATATACACACACACACA